TGTGTCCTGAGCGCAGGCTGCGCGCGGCCCAGGAGATGGCGCGGAAGTTGTCGGAGCTGCCTTACGACGGGAAGGCGCGGCTGGCTGGGGAGGGGCTCCCCGGCGCGCCTCCAGGCCGGCCCGAGTCCTTCGCCTTTGTGGATGAGGATGAAGACGAAGACCTCTCTGGGAAGAGCGAGGTGACCGCGCCAGGAAGGGCCAGGGAGTGGGATAGATCGGGGCAAAAGGAAAAGCGTCGTCTGGGCTGGGCTGGGCTTGGGACAGGGGTAGTTTCCCTGAAAGTAGTGGGAAGAGGGAGGGGAGAGGCTGGTAACTGAGAAAGCCAGAAATTCTGGGTCAGGTACCAAAAAGACCAGTGCCTCTGGGTCCAGGGACTAAAGAAGATAAGGTTGCAGATGATGGTCTTGACAATTGAAAGGGATATAGGAATTTCTGAACTGGGGGGAAGAATAGAGTTCGCTTTCCCAGAACATCCACCGACTGGTAAAGGCAGTGAAGGCCCACCCAGGCAGTCTCTGCTTCCAGGCTGAGACTTCTTACTTTTCCTTACAGCTTCCTCCTTCCCTTCCTCTCCACCCCTCTACTACTGCCCCTCTGTCCCCAGAAGAGCCCAATGGGCCTCTGCCTGCCCACAAACAGCAGCCGGAAGCACCAGAGCCTGCAGGTGACGCTCTTCCCTCATGCACCCCAACTCATGCCTTGTAGGTTATCTCTGGTCACTTGGACCTGACCTTTACCTGCATGCAACTCCTATGTGGTGTGGGGTTGGGGGTGAGGCTGGGGGATTGAAGGAGGAAAGGGTTCTTATTCAACAATTCTCCTTGTTACTGTCCCAGGGAGTGGGAGCAGAGGGTGATTTAGGATGGTGGAAGAGAGGGTGAGGTACCTGGGAAGTGCAGCTCTTTGGAGCAAGTGTCAGGCACTGCGTGGGGCCCCTGGCCGTTTCCTGTTGCTTTGTGTCCAGTTCCATCCACTCACCTTTCCTCTCAGGTCAAAGACCCTCCATCTTCCAGTCCCTGCTTCACTGCCTGCTGGGCAGAGCTCGCCCCCCAAAGAAGAAAGCAACCCAGGTGAGGAGATGTGTTTGGGATACAGGGGAAAGGGAGCCTACCCTTGAAGAGTGAGAAACCCATGGTTCTTAAATCAGGAAGGCAGAGATCCCACCAAGGAGGAGGAGTTTAATCATATGGAAGGGATGATTAATGGAAAGGAGGCATCGGTGGTCCTGGCCAGGGAGGGATGGCTATTGTTTCATTGGGAACCATATGAACCATGGGAAGAAAAGGGAAAGAACTTGGACCTGTGTCTTTCTTCTCTAGGATTCCACAGATTTAGTGGATAACATGTCACCTGAAGAGGTGAGTAAGGGAAACCAAAACCTGGGGTAGATTGTTCTGTCAAATGAAGATATTGCTAATTTGTTTCTACCTTCTTTATTGTGTTGTCGTGAAATAGAATGTGATCTAGATGGGAAGTATTTTAACAGGATGGAAATAAGGATGACTATGGAGAGATTAATGAGTGTGTGATGGGACATGGAGGAGTTCTCGGAGAGACATGTCATTTCAGGAGAAAAACTTTGAGCCTCCATGAGTAAATGGGGCCATGGTGCTAAGATGAGCCCGAGATCTTTTAGAGATTATGGACTTTCTGGATCAGGCAAAGCTTTAATGGAGGTAAAATATCACCAGGAGGCTGGCACTAAAACAGCAACATGGAAGAAGAACATCAAAACTAAAAAACTAAAATGGGAGGCTGGGCGTGGTGGCTCATGCCTGTAATCCCAGCACTTTGGGAGGCTGAGGCAGGCAGATGACTTGAGGTCAGGAGTTTGAGACCAGCCTGGCTAACATGGTGAAACCCCATTTCTACTAAAAATACAAAAATTAACTGGGCATAGTGGCACACGCCTGTAATCCCAGGTACTTGGGAGGCTGAGGCACGAAAATCACTTGAACCTGGGAGGTGGAGGTTGCAGTGAGGGGAGATCGCACCACTGCACTCCAGCCTGAGTGACAGAGCCAGACTCCACTTCAAAAACAAAACAAAAACAAACAAACAAAAAAACCCCACAAAAAAACAAAAAAAAACCAAAAAAACAAAAAAAAAACAAAAAACAAAAAAAAAAAACCAAAAAAACAAAAAAAAAACAAAAAACAAAAAACAAAAAAGAAAAGAGAAGAAAAGAAAAGAAAAAGGAAAAAAAAAAAAAAAAAAAATGACCCAAATGAGGAAATCTGCCTCTGGTGGAGGTTACTGTGCTGGATTGATCAGGGCCCTGAGACAGTGAACAACTGGAAAATGCTAGGCATTGCTACTGGGAAGAATTGAAAAAGGAAGAAAATAATGACCATGGTGCCTCATGGGGACAAACAAATGCCTACTTCCCTAAAAGAGGTGGTTATCAAACTTTCAAGAGAGAAAAGTCAAGCATTCTGAATGCACTTGGTTGTGAGGAGGGAACAGAATGTGGAATAGTGATTGGAAGCAGGCAGCTGAACAGTCCAGATCAGAACATACCAAGGGGTTGTGGAGGAACAACAACAAAAAATCCATTGGCAACTATTCTATATGGTAAAAGAATGCATAGTTTGCTGCAAACGCTGAAAACGTAAAGCTTGTAAAGTATGAAGCTGACAAACACACACAGCGGATATTATTCTTAAGTAAACATCTTATTGGATATCCGGAATATATATGTGCTGACAATGAAAAGCATTACAGGGTTGGGGGAGGGTGTTGTGAGTGACAAGAGAGAAGGAAAACCTTCCCCACCCCTCAAAACACACACACTTCTGACAAATGACTTGTGAAAAACTCAAATAGATGATCACAGAGGGAAAGGAACAACTATTCCTTCTGCCCACAAGCAGAAATCAGAAAGGCCATAATTGCAATTAAGGAGTACTTTGTTAGGATGCTCAAACCAATAATAATAAGCCTTTCTTTTTTTCTTTTTCTTTCTTTTTAATTTAATGCTCCAAAGATTGAAAACCAGCTAGTTTATCAGTGTGGCTATCAAATGACCACTGGAAATAAAGTGCAGCCAGGGATTAAAAGTAAGATAGACCATCATTTCTAGCTTATGTCTTTCCCAGGGAAGACTTCAAGGGGCTACCAATTCCCATGTGACCCACTGAGACATTTTAGAGGGATAAGATCCAATAGGAGTTGAAATTCAGGATATTTTGAACACAATTTTCAGGCCAGATGATACCCTTGACAATATCAAGATGTTGATATTGACCAAAAAACGGTATGGGGGCAGTATGGGAGTATTGAAAAATTCAATTATGTGTTGCCAGAAGTCCCTACTAGGATTTGTTTAATTCTGCATACTCTGGAGTACACACAGAGCTCTGTTTCTAACTGGTACCGAGCTTATTCAAGTAGTGGAACACATCAGCCTCAACAGCAACGTCCTGCATCCCTTGGGCAAAAGCTGGAGATGCACCTGGAATGCAAACAGCAGTCAAGGTTAGAAGCCCAGCTCCACCAGTTACTGACTGTGTAATCCTGGGCAAATGAATTCCACACTGTGCCTCTGTTTCCTCATCTATAAAGTGAAGATAATGATAGAGTTATTGGAGAAGATTAAATGAGCTAAGACGGGTACGGCAATTAGAATAATGCTTGGCAAAGAGGATGTACTTGATAATCATTCACTGAAAATGTTGCCGCGTTATTGTTAAGGCAAGGCAAAAATGGAACGTAAGGCCACAGATGATCATAGAAAAGACCAAGAGGACGGGATGGACCAAACGGTGGTTGGCAAGGTCTAGCCCCCATCCTATACCTAAATCTTCTCTACAACACACCTGCTAAGTGGTCATCCATCCTATGCTATGTAACCCTGTGTAATCCATTAGTCAGGAAGATGAGAGTATAGAGGAGGCATGATTGTAATCCAGAAATATCAGGACAGGACAGGTGGAGTGAACATCACTATGGGCTACACACTAGATCCTAAATCTATATAATGCCCTTTGGTGATGTTCTCTGAAGTCTGAGAGGTATAGATTTGGACAAATAGGAAAATAGAGTTCTAGATCATTCAGAGGGTACTGACTGAAAAGAGATTTTAGAAATTTTAGAAAAATGTATGAGAGCCAGAGATGTAATGGATTATTTGGACTCTTGGGAATTTTGGTGTGCATATCTAAAGTCAAGAGGATGGTTGGCCTTTGTGCCTTAATGCTTCTGTCATAGACAAAAACAAACAAACAAAAACTGGCTTTGCTCAAGTCAAGTAAGTGCCGTGAGGTCCAGTGTAGCTCTTCAGTTTCAACAAGTACTCACCATGGTTCCCTGCATGAGAGGTGATGTGGTAGTTTCTTCACAATATACAGCAGCCAATACCACACGACACTCAAGACAAGTGCAAAGGTAAGACAAATGCCAATACAGCAGGAAGTATGGCCAATGTCATTTCTGAAAAGGTGAGACCAGCTAATACTATGAGAATTTAAAAAAGGGAGAAGCACGTCTGATTGGGAGAGTCAGGAAATACGTACACTGCAGGGACAGGGTAGGGCAGGTAAAGGAACTCTAGATGCTCAGAACAGCAAAGACAAAGGGGAAGGCGTGTTTGAAAAGCAGAGAGCAGTCTGGTTTGATTGGAGCCCCGCATCTTATAGTAGTCATGGAAAATAGATGGGAAAGATAGGTTGGGAATAACAAATGTTTGGGACGCCAGGGGATGGGAGAGTTGGGGCCTAGAACGGGGAGGGATGTTCTGGGTACCTGGGGGTTGCAGGGTAGGTTGGGGGTTCCTGATGAGGAAGGGCAGAGAGGCTCTGTGCCCGGGAAGAAGGAGGAGGGCCTCTGATCTGGGGGATCTGTGATCAGTTCTTGCATGTTTCCAGATTCTGGGCAGGGGCTAGGAGGGCTGTTTGGGATCAAAATCAGGTATCTGGGGTGAAAGGAGGCTCCGTGATTTTCGTGACTTTCATCCTCTGGCTGACAGATTGAGGCCTGGGAGCAGGAGCAGCTGAGCCAACCTGTCTGTTTTGATTCCTGCTGTATTGACCAGTCTCCCTTCCAGCTGGTGGAGCAGACAACCCTGCACAAGGTGAGTCCTTTGCTGACTGCTCAGGGCTGCAGGGAAGGCAGGAGAGCTGTGGGGCAAGGAACATGCACTGACCTGTGCTCTTCATCCTCAGACTCACACCCTGTTCTCACTCCTCGGCCTCCACCTCGCTTATGTGACCAGCATGGGGAAGCTCAGGGGCGTCTTGGCCCTGGAGGAGGTAATCACGATGTGTCCCATTTGAGCAGCAGGAGGGAGGCTGGGCACAAGATAAGGGGATGCAGGGAGGACAGAGGGGATATTAGCATCTCAGAAGTCCCCTCAGATTCCCTTCTCTATTTCTTTTCTTTTTTTTTTTTTTTTTTTTTGAGACAGAGTTTCACTCTTGTCACCCAGGCTGGAGTGCAGTGGTGTGATCTCAGCTCACTGCAACCTCTGCCTCCCAGGTTCAACTGATTCTCCTGCCTCAGGCTCCTGAGTAGCTGGGATTACAGGCGCCTTCCACCACACCTGGCTAATTTTTTGTATTTTTAGTAGAGATGGGGTTTCACCATGTTGGGCAGGCTGGTCTCGAACTCCTGACCTCAGGTGATCTGCCCACCTCGGCTTCCCAAAGTGCTGCGATTCCAGATGTGAGCCACCAGGGCCCGGTTCCCCTCTCTATTTCTTATGCAGAGATTGGAGAGGGTAGAGGAAGCAGCCAGCCGAGGTAGAGGAGACTACAAAGCCTGTTATGGCCACAGCCCTGAAGGGAATGGAATTCTCCACCCCAGATGGGGCCCATGTGATCTTCCGTAGATAGTGTGGGTTTCAGATGGGGTTCCAGGCATGAGTCACTGTTTCTCGGGGATGTGCTTTGGGGAAAGCTGTGGAAATAGGGCAGTGGGGGGATGTGGCTGCAGGTGGTCACTAGGAAGGAAGAGGTCACCCAAGGGTCTGAGTCTGGGCAGGTGGATCTTTTGTCACACCCCTTTTCTTGTCCTTTTTCTGTCTTCTTTCTCTGGTTGTTCCTTATTGTCTGTTTCTCTTTCTCCCCCTTTTGCCACTCTGTATCTTTCCTGTTCTTTTGTCCTTTCATTGTATCTGTTCTTTTCTGTTTGTCTCTCACTGCCCCTATCTTTTTTCTTTTTCCAACTTTTTACCCGCTTTTCCTTTCCCACTGCTCTTCAGCTACAGAAGGCCATTGAGGGGCACACCAAGTCTGGGGTGCAGCTCCGCCCTCCCCTTGCCAGCTTCCGGAACACGACTTCAACTCGAAAGAGTCCCGGGGGACCCCCACCTTCTGCAGAGAACTGGAACCTGCCTGAGGATAGGCCTGCAGCCACTGGAGCAGGGGATGTGACTGCTGCCTCCCCAGAGACCCCTGTGCCATCCCCTTCCCCAGAGCCCCCTCTCTCCCTGGCCCCAGGCAAGGTAGAGGGTGAGCTGGAGGAGCTGGAACTGGTGGAGAGTCCAGGGCTGGAAGAGGAGCTGGCTGACATCTTGCAGGGCCCCAGCCTGCGATCCACAGACGAGGAGGATGAGGATGAACTGATCCTTTGACCCCCTCCCACGACCTCCTCATAAAGACTGTCCAGAGGCCCAGTCTGAGGGTGAACTTGTGTGGGGCAGGGTGCATCCTGAATGTGGCGAGGTCATGCCACATTCCATGCCTCTTCCGGGAATTTTTTAATGTGATAGTGATAGTCTTAAAGGAGGAATCGGCATTTAGGCAGGGAGGAGCCTTGGTCAATTATTTCGACTATTCTCCCCATTCCCAGCCAGGCAGGTGGCCCTAACCCTAGCAAAGCACCCCTGATATTCCATGGGGCTTCCTGAGTGTTCCTGGTATGCAGCAAGGGAATCCCCTGCCTCTCTCTGCCTCCCGCTGCCCCCAACAATTCCCCAGTGCTCTTGTCCCAGTACTGTGCTATCTGTGCCTCAGTGTCTACAAGAGGTGGGGTGAGGGGAGGCCCAGAACGACTGTGGCCCTGTAAGTGCCATGTTGGAGGAGGGGATGGGACCATCCTATGGCCTCAGGCACTGACCACCCCAGAATGTGCCTCCAGGCCAGCCACAGCCGCTTCTCTTGGAGCCCTGCGCTGGCCCACGTCCGCTCCTGCAATCTGCCTCTGACCCCGATGCGTCTCCAGGCCAGGCCGTGACTAGGGCACTGAGAGAAGCAGGTGCCCTGTTGCCCAACAATCGTGCCCCCATGATGTCCGCTGACTCCCTCTGGCAGAAAACCTTCTATTCCACAGCACAGCTTCCTCGCCCTCCAGTGTCCAGGTTACTCCCTAGGAAACACATCCTCCCTCTCTCCACTGTAGTTCTTTTTTTTTTTTTTTTTTTTTGAGATGGAGTCTCGCTCTGTCCCCCAGGCTGGAGTACAGTGGCCGGATCTCAGCTCACTGCAAGCTCCGCCTCCCGGGTTTATGCCATTCTCCTGCCTCAGCCTCCCGAGTAGCTGGGACTACAGGCGCCCGCCACCTCGCCCGGCTAGTTTTTTGTATTTTTTAGTACAGACGGGGTTTCACCGTGTTAGCCAGGGTGGTCTCGATCTCCTGACCTTGTGATCCGCCCGTCTCGGCCTCCCAAAGTGCTGGGATTACAGGCTTGAGCCACCGTGCCCGGCTCCACTGTAGTTCTTGACTTGTCCTGCCAAAGGTCAGCTCTGCCCTGGAGCTGCTCTAGCCAGGGCCTCTCCTGCCAAGAATCAGGGCTCAGAGCAGCTAGGTCACTGGGTCACTCAGACACAAGCCCCTTCTTAGACTGGTTCTTCAGATGCCTTTCCTAGGGGTGGAGAGTTAGGAGCTAAGCGTCAAGATGGCAGGGCTCTTGAGTGCTGCCCGCACTTGGGACACTCACATCTTCACCCTCCCCAGATCAGCAGTAGGAAGCCTGGCTGTGCACTCCATTAGCGCGCTTTCTCTACAAAGGGAGGCCAGGTGTTGTGAGCATCCCCAAACCCTCGCTCCGTACCCAAGGTTTTTCTCCCCAAACCTTGCCATCCCATATGCTTTGCTTAATTCTGCCATTGTGCCCCCACTCCGACATTCTCCTCCTTTGCCTCCCCTGTTCCCAGTCTCCTCCATCCCCCAAATAAGACAGTCACAGCCAGAGGATGCCACCATGTTCTGTTTAGTGTCATTGAACACAGCCTGTAACCTTCTCCAGCATCACGTCCCTCCCACTTCCCCAGGCCAAGAGAGACGTTGAAGCCTGGGTAGGGGACTGGCAGTGGGCATTTGAGCCCATGCCCTTGTGTACATAATCTATAATATTTATATATATTGATATAGAATTCTCTCTGTAATATATGTCATAGAATCTCTCTTGGGCCTGGGGTGGGAATGTCACATTAAGAAAACATGCTGAGACTGGCCATAAAAATGGATATTTCCCAGACCTGGAAGATGGTGTGTGGGATGTATAGGTGAGGACGAGGAGAAGATACTAAACTCATTCCCCAGGATCCCCACTTCAACACGAGGACAGGAAGGAAGGTGTGTGGGGGTGGAGGGGGCAATGGAGGGGAAGAATGGAAGATTTGGATTTTCATTTAATAAAGTCATTTGAAAATGAAAGTGCACCCCCCCCAAAAAAAGAAAATCGTTTAGCAAGAGCAGTTTCATTCACAAGAATATAAAAACAGCCCTGTTCCAGGACTGCTGTAAAACGTGCTGCACAGCCTTAACCCCAAAGGAAAAGCCACCCTTTCCCACCCCGCAGCAGCCTCTTCCTGCACATGCCCCTCCCCACCCCCTGAAATAGGCGATAAGCAACCCCCATGCACCCTGCCCCCAGCACCAGAAGAGTCCTAAGATGGTCCCAAGCCAGCTCCTCAGTCTCTCTCTTCAGAGCGGGTGGGAGCTCCTTGCAGAAGACAGACCCCCACCTGACTTCTGTCTGCAGCAATATGCCAGCACCCTGGGGACACCAGGTTCATGTATGAACCCTGCTAGAGTCCTTCAGACCTTTAGTCATCTTTTGTCAGGGACCATGTGGCTTCCTTGGGAAAGGGAAGGAGGAATGAAAGCTGCTGTGGTCTACCTTTCCTAACTCCCCCGGGCCTGAGCAAAAAGGAACTGTAATGAATGAACGCACTCAGTGGGTGAGCTGTCCACTGTGGTCTGGGGAGATAATATGGGCACTGAGAGGATGAGATGACAGGAAGAGGTGATGTGGGAATAGCACACATTGGAGAAGGTGAGGAACCAGGGACCCCGAGGAAGGAAGGTCACATGAACATGCAAAACCCCAGAGCTTGCAGCAGGAGATGGGTGGGGAACAGCTGCCAGGGCGGGCATGCGAAACCACCTCTCAGAGTTCCTGGAAATGAGGTCCTGGGACACGGAGTTAGCACGTTAGCAAGTGCAAGAGGACTCTTCCCCTGTACAGGAGGATTCAGTTAGGTGACTGCACCTGCCTTGGCTCACCTTGCCTAAGCCCATGTTTCCTCCAAAAACCAGCCTCAGGATAACCATTGTCCCCCTTCCAGGGAAGACACAGAACCCCCTGCCCTGCTTGCATCCCAGGAGTGTGTGTAGGAGAGTATGAACTTGATGGCGGAACAGGATCATAGATGGACAGAAACACCCCAACTCTCAACCTCCTCATTATAAAATAATAAGTTCTGGGACCTGGGGGTGAGGGCAAAGTTTGTGCCCAAGGCTGGGAGAGGACGACAGTGCTCCCTTCCAGCAGGGGATGCAAGTGGTAGAACTCCTGACAGAGTGTGGGTAGGACACAAGCCTGGGAGTTGGAGCCTTGGAAGGGTGTGAAGAAAGAAAGAGATAGGGCAGTGAGCCTCTTAGGCCTCTCTCTCCTACCCAAACTCTGCCTGTGCCAAGGGCTGGGGAGGGGCTACCCTGGCAGTGGCAGGGCCAAGTGCTCTCCAGCCCACAGCGCCGCTGCTTCGCTCCGCCCGTCCTCTGCCTGTGCTCTTACAGTAGTGCTGGGGTGCATATGCTGCTCAGTCCCCACCAGCATGGATGCCAAGTGTGGGAGGGCAAGCTTGTGTCTCACCATACACCATCCTGGAAAGAAGAATCCGCGAATTTTCCTGTCTTCCTCCGGTAGGAGGCCTGGGGAGGCAGGGAGGACAGCTGTGAAGCTGTTTGGGAGTCCTGGGAGGAGCTGAAGAAGGGGCAGAAGGTGCCGAGTGCCCACCCTGGCCCTCAGCTGCAACCCTGACTGGCTGAGGGAGTGACAGCACCGGACTCCTCCCTCCACCCCACTCAACCCTGAGTGCCCAAGAAGTTATAAAAATGTAGAAAAGGCAAAGAGAAAAGTGTAAACAGCTTCAGAGGACAGGGGTGGATAGGGGGAGACAGCCCTCATGCTCCCCCCGCTGTTGGCGACACCTGCATCCTGCGTTGGTGTATCCAAGACGGGTGTCCCCGCACCCTCCTCAGGGCCAGGCTCCGGGAGCAGGGATGGAAGAAAGCTGAAAGGGAAGCAAGAGCTGGAGCAGCCAGCCCCAGCTGGGTCTTTTCCCAGATCCTTAGGATCCTCCTTTCAGCCATGGGATATTCAAGATCCCAGAGCAAGGGGCTGTGTTTGTTCTTGGTCTCCTCAGTGACTCTTGTCTCTGGGCAGGCCTTGATAGAAAGAACCACGTCTGTGCCCCCTGTAGATCTCAGCTGCCACGTCCACCTCCTCCTCGACTCCTGATCTCAGAAGCCAAATGACCCGCTGAGGCAGCCTCTCCACCCTCCACATGGACGTGCCCTTCAGGCAGCCTCCCCTGCGCCTGTCCAGCCATGTCCAACAGCTCCTAAGGTCTGTTCTCTCAGTAAGGATGAGCTGGGGCCACAGCCAGAGAAAACAGAGTTGGGAAAAGCAAGAGTGAAATGGAGAAAGGAGGCATTCAGACAGCACAGTTACGGCGCCTGGAAGACGAAATCGGGGAGTGAAGAACTGAGATCCAGTCTTGAGCACAGCTGCACTGCCCCCGTCTTCAGGGTGCACACACTGGAGGCTTTGTCAGCACAGACCCAGAAGCCCGCAGCCCAGGTCCTTCTCCACAGTCACACCAAGCTCATGGCCATCTAGTTGCCCAGGTCTCAGTTCTCAGGCCTGTGGGTTTCTAGAGTGTAAGCCTGGATAAAATCCCATCCTGGCCCTCCATTTCCGGGAGAGGACTGGAAGCTCCTGGGTTCCCCAATGTTGTCTGCCCGGTTTCAGCTGTACTGCTGGGGGGAGGGAATGTATGGGTCACAGCCATGGCCCTCAGGTGGGAGTGGAAGGCAGGGCATTGGGGGAGGAAGCTAGTTGTTGGTCTCGCCTTCCTCCTCATCAAATGACTGCACACCTGAGGATGTGACGTCAGACACCTTCCGGCTGAGAGCGGTAGACATCTCAGGGTCTTCTCTTGGGGAAAGTGACTCCAGATCCCGGCATCCTGCATCCTCTTCCTCCTCAGGGGCCAATGGCCTCTTCTCCTCCTCGGCAGGGCCCCTTGCGAGGTCCACTGCACCTACCCCTGGAGCCCAGTCAGTGTCTCCCCCCAGCAAAGGTGGAGGCTCCAGAGCAGAGTATCCTGAAGCCGGTTGGGAAGG